CACGGCACGCGGCGCCGCCCGACGCTGCTGACCCCGCTGAGCTGGCCCGTCAGCTGACGGTCGTCCGGTCAGCATGCACTGTGTACCAGCCGCCGCCGAGCCGGGCCTTATTTAGCGGCGTCGGGAGGCGGCGATTGGGCCGCAGCCAGCAGCCTGTCGCCGCGCCGGTTTTGTCGCGTCTCGCTCCGCTTGCCTTCCGGACCTGTGGACGCCTTGTGGAGGGTGCGGCAGCGGGAGGGGTGCGACCAGCCATCGGATCGCCGCCCCGGCACCGGTCGTCGGAGCCAGACGTCGGTTGTGTATGCAGACGGTTAAGAAGAAGTCTCACAATCTCTGGCATTCGTCGAAATGCCGTGCGCCACAGAAATGGCTATGCACTAGGGCAGAGGATGGGGGGGGGGGGGGAGGTAGGAGGACGGCGCTCGGGTCATCGCCCTCCGGCGGTCGGCGAGCATTCCCACAGGGGCCAGCCTCACGGCCCCAGTGTCGGCCCCATTGTCGGCGCCAGTGTCGGCGCCAGTGTCGGCGCCAGTGTCGGCGCCAGTGTCGGCACCAGTGTGGGGCGCTGCCCCGCCACCGCCAGACCTCCTCTGCCCAGGCCTGGACCTGCCGTAGTCCGGCGGCCGCCGGGCGGACCAGAGACCCCCGCGACCGCCCGTCAGCCGCCGTCACACAGCCGGCGAGAGGGCAGCAGCCGCCCCACTCCGGACGTGTGACACACGGCTGAGCCTTGCCCCGGAGGCGCCGACCCTGGGCGGGGCTCGCCTCCCACAACCGGCGGGCTTGGCGGGGCGCGCTGGCGCGCCTCGCCGCCGTGCTCGTCATGCTGCCGAGTGGCGCGCCTCCAGCTGGCAGCTCTGCCCCAGCCGTGCCCAACACCGCCCGCCGCCGTAAACTCACAGGGTCGTTTAGTTGAGGAAATCGCGGCCTTTACTTTAGGGCTTCACGACTGTTTTACGGCTGTTCGGGATATTTTCTCTTGGTTAAGTGCGGAAGATGAATGCGATTGCGCTGGTTCCCTTCGCAAAGGTTGCGTTGCGGTGAAACCCATTTGCAAAGATATTAGCGCCCACCAGTTGGATACACGATAGGACTCTAGCCAGTCTACTGGAAACCGCTGGCCAGCCCGTTCTGGCATGTGTTGTTCCCGACCAGAAGATTGATCATCCTGACAGTTCTTTTTGACATCATTTTTGAGATCTTGACGCTCTTTTACCGATGTTTAGAGGCACTGAACGTAAACTTGCCTGGCGGCTGGCCGTGCCGCCGTTCGCCACAGAGGCCTGCCGCTCCTGTCCGTGCAGGGCAGGGCACGGCCTGGTGGCTGGCCGCGACGCCAGTCCGCCACAGCGGCCTGCCGCTCCTGTCCGTGCGGGGCACGGCCTGGTGGCTGGCCGTGCCGCGAGTCCGCCACAGCGGCCTGCCGCTCCTGTCCGTGCAGGGCACGGCCTGGCGGCTGGCCGTGCCGCCAGTCTCAGCAGGCCACGCCGGCCGTGCGGACTCATACGCCAGACTGACGGCGTATTTCTGGTTGCCGGCTAATTTTGGAGCGTCGCGCTCCCCGCTGTTGACTTGTCCACGGGCGTTCTCACAGATCCGAGGTATACACGGCGTCTCTCCGGCATTGTTAGGGCTGGCTCGACGGGCCGATGGGCTGTTTGTTGGTCGGGGAGCTGGCGCTCGGTGCCGCCGAGGACGCCGCCGGTGCCCTCGCATTGTTCTGCCGTGCCGGGGAGGGCACACCGGTGCCGACCCATGGCCGCCTAATGCGTGTTTGGGCGCCCGGCGGCCCCGACCGGCCGGCCGGCGCCGCTCTCGACGCGGCCAGCCATCCGCGTGACTCTTCGTTCGGCCGCGGCCATTAGCGGTAACGACGCCCCTAAATCAGTCGTCGCCTGATTAGCGGGGCGTCGGTGGTCAGGCGGGCGTGATCGGCCGGCCGGCACGCCACGCGATCGCAGTCCGGCCAGGCGCCGGCCGTGGGCCGCGCTCTGTCGGGTCAGCCTACATCGGTGGCGGCGTCACGCGTGGAGCGTAACACTAGACAGGTGTGCTACAGGACACGCTGGGAGTGGGACCAGTTCCCTCCGCTCAAAGGCTGCATATCCCATGGAGCCGGACATTAAACAACTGTTACAGGAGACCGGGCGGAATCGCCGCCTCCTGCTCTTATCCCCAGCCAACCGGTGTGGAAACGGGGGAACGCTGGGTTCTGCTCGCCGAAGAGTATGGCAGGTACGGCAGCGGCTCGGCGGCTCTCTGTTATCACCCTGCCGCCGCTGTACCGAGCACCGCGGCTCGGCGGCTCTCGGTCATCACCCTGCCGCCGCTGTACTGAGCACCGCGGCTCGGCGGCTCTCGGTCATCACCCTGCCGCCGCTGTACCGAGCACCGCGGCTCGGCAGCTCTCTGTCATCACTCTACCTCCGCTGTACCGAGCACCGCGGCTCGGCGGCTCTCTGTTACCACCCTGCCGCCGCTGTACCGAGTACCGCGGCTCGGCGGCTCTCTGTTAGCACTCTACCGCCGCTGTGCCGAGCACCGCGGCTCGGCAGCTCTCGGCCATCACCCTGCCGCCGCTGTACCGAGTCCCGCTGCTTTGCGGCTCCGTTATCACCCCGCCGTCTCGAGTCGTAATCCGGTAGTCAGTGCCGGGCCGGCTGTTGGCCGAGGTTCGATGTTGATTCTGCGGTTGGCCTGGCCGGTCCGGCCGCGCCCCCCTCACTCCGCAGTTGCCAGCGGCGCCCGGTGCTGATGCTGTGTGGCCGGCCGTGGCCCACGGTGCTGCTGCGGTGTGGCCGGCCATGGCCCACGACGCTGCTGCGGTGTGGCCGGCCATGGCCCGCGGCGCTGCTGTGGTGCGGCGGGCCGTGGCCCACGACGCTGCTGCGGTGTGGCCGGCCATGGCCCGCGGCGCTGCTGTGGTGCGGCGGGCCATGGCCCACGGCGCTGCTGCGGTGTGGCCGGCCATGGCCCGCGGCGCTGCTGTGGTGTGGCCGGCCATGGCCCGCGTTGTTGCTGTAGTGTGGCCGGCCATGGCCCACGGCGCTGCTGTGGTGTGGCCGACCATGGCCCACGGCGCTGCTGTGGTGTGGTCGGCCATGGCCCGCGTTGTTGCTGTGGTGTGGGGGGCCATGGCCCACGGCGCTGCTGTGGTGTGGCGGGCCATGGCCCACGGCGCTGCTGTGGTGTGGCGGGCCATGGCCCACGGCGCTGCTGCCGCCATGGCCCGCGGCGTCCTGCGCCGCACCGGGAGCCGCTGCTCGGGGCAGGGCTGGGCCGCGCCGCCAGCTCACTCCGGTCGCGCCGGGGGGGGGGGGGGGGGGCGGCACGAGACCTTCGCGGCCGGCTTGGGTTACGCGGCTGGGCAGCTGATGTCAGCCGGACACAGGACACTCGCTGGACACGGGAAACGGGTCACGGGCTGGACACAGGCCGGACACGGGACACCAGCTAGATATGGACCGGCCGCAGCACGCGCGTTACCGCCGCGAGGCGCTTCGTTTTGAGTCAGGGCTACTCAGTGGCGTAGTTTCAACCAGCATGTAAACCTCGGTCTTAACCTGCTAATTAAACACAAATCGTCGCACACTGTCTGCTTTGATTCTGCTCATGTGTGCACAGTTGTATTTTAAAAAGCTCATTTCTGGGGGGCATGCAGTACCAGCACTGCAAAAACTGACAGAGTCAACAACTCCCTCCACGTGCAGGCGAACATGCATGTTTATGGTAACTGCTGTCGGGTTGTCAAAGGACTGTGGGCCTCCGTCACCAGTGAGGGTACCGCTGGTCACGACTGGTCACTGGTGAATAACTGAGAATATAGGCATCGTCTTTTTTGGTAACACTGAGGTTAAAGCCGCCGTGACTTGACGATAAAATCGGGCTAGAAGTAGACTGTTCTCCAACTAAATGGAATCCAAACATAAGTGGCAAATTTTCCAACGACTATATCTACTGCGTTGTGCGCCGCTTCCCGTAGCGAAGAAGTTTGAAAATTTACGCGCCAGAGATGTTTTATGTATGCGTGTCTGCAACTTTACTTTAGCTAGTTAAATCTGAAATGGCTGCTGCTCATATAAAATCCGACACATGCAGTTATGATCATGACTCATCGTGGTTCAGGGACACATATCAACCCCAAAGGCATGCCAGTACTTGAAGACTGGCCTTGTGCCAAGCCTGGTGTTAGTTTTGCCAGGTTTGGCCGCGGTTTGTATGGGTGGCTGCCGGCTGCCTGGGTGGACGTCGTCTCCGCCCGCCGCCAGCATGGCTGCGGTCTGTGCGGGTGGCTGCCGGCTGCCTGAGTGGACGTCGTCTCCGCCCGCCGCCAGCATGGCTGCGGTCTGTGCGGGTGGCTGCCGGCTGCCTGGGTGGACGTCGTCTCCGCCCGCCGCCAGCATGGCTGCGGTCTGTGCGGGTGGCTGCCGGCTGCCTGAGTGGACGTCAGCTCCGCCTGGTGTCTACAGCGACCTGTGGCCGTCGGTCGGCAGGGCACGCCCTCCGACCGACACCCTCCTCCCGTCGGTCCCAAATACCCGCGCCCGTCTGTTTGTTTGCCTAATTGTCGGCGTCTGTCGGCGTGGCGGCCGAGCGCTCGCGGCGGGCGCGGGTCGGCCGGCCGCGGCCGGGGCCCGTGCGGTCCGGCCCAGCTCGCCCGGCCCGCCCGGCCCGGCCCGGCCCGGCGCGGCCGCCAGTGCCGGCGCCGCCGTCCCACCGGCCGAGTGTGCCGTCCGCCCGCTGACCCGCCGACGAGCGGCCGCAGCGGCGCGCTGTCACAGCCACGAACGGCCGCGGCCGCCGGCTGTACCGCAGCCACAAGTCGGGGCGCGGCGAGGGCTGATCGGAGCGCGAACCGTCGAACCGCCAGCTGTGGGCGGCGCGTGCCGCGTGCTCGCCGACCCGCGCCGGGTCAGCTGGCGTCACCGGCGGGTCACGTGACGTCACGGGCGGAGCGTGTGCGGCGGCGGTGCCGGCGGCGCGGCCGTCTGCCAGTCGGCGGCGCACACCCGGCGACCGGTGCCGGTGCCAGCTCCGCCGCCGCTCCGCCCCGGCAGCAGCATGGACCGCACGATGTACGGCAAGGTTGCGCCCGGCAGCCAGCACCAGCCGTACCGGATCGTGCGCCGCGACTCGGCCAACAAGCCAGGATGTGAGTTGACGGCGCCGCCCAGTCTGCCGGGCTGCCGGCACCGGCGCAGCTCTGCGCGACGCGGGGCGGCTCGGCTTGCTCGCCCCGCTGGGCGATCCGTCAACAATTGTTATCCGCGCCTGATTCGGTGGGGGAGGTGTGTTTTGGGGCCGGGGAGAGATACGGTGGTGATGGTGGTGGGGAAGGGAGAGGGGGGGGGGGGCAAGGTGAGGTGCGCGAGTATGAGCTGGTATCAGGCCGGTGCAGCTTGCTCGCTGGTGGGTGATGGGCCGTCACCGTGCGTCCCATTGTCTCCGCGTGTTCCGTGTCGCCACCGCGTGACTCACCGCTGTGCATGTCACGTGATCCCCGCGCAAATGGTACCGCTGCAAGGTGGATCGCCAGTGGAGCCGGCCGTCTGTCGACTTGCGCGTGACGCCCCTTCATCGGCGCGCGCGGGCTACCGTTTGGCACGTGACTGCGCTTGGTTTCCGCGTCGGCCGGGCCAGGCCGCCTCCTTTGTGCTGCGCCGGGCGCCTTCTGCCGGTTCCGTCGTCGGCGTATGCTGGCGACCGTGCCAAACACGGCCGCTTACTCACCGAGGCCTGTACAAACACACCGGGCGGCGTCGGCGCCCTGATGCGACCCGCAGCAGACGAATTTTTTGTACAGGGCGGCCACTGTGGACCGGTGGACACCTCCCCGGCCGGCGGCTGAGAGACGCGCTCCTCCCCCGCCGGCAGCTGAGAGACGCGCTCCTCCCCCGCCGGCGTCTGAGAGACGCGCTCCTCTCCCACCGGCGGCTGAGCGACGCGCTCCTCTCCCGCCGGTGTCTGAGACGCGCGCTACTCCCCCGCCGGCGGCTGAGAGACGCGCTCCTCCCCCGCCGGTGTCTGAGAGACGCGCTACTCCCCCGCCGGCGTCTGAGAGACGCGCTCCTCTCCCACCGGCGGCTGAGAGACGCGCTCCTCCCCCGCCGGTGTCTGAGAGACGCGCTCCTCCCCCGCCGGTGTCTGAGAGACGCGCTCCTCCCTCGCCGGCGTCTGAGAGACGCGCTCCTCCCCCGCCGGTGTCTGAGAGACGCGCTCCTCCCCCGCCGGCGTCTGAGAGACGCGCTCCTCCCCTGCCGGCGTCTGAGAGACGCGCTCCTCCCCGGCCGGCGTCTGAGAGACGCGCTCCTCCCCTGCCGGTGTCTGAGAGACGCGCTCCTCTCCCGCCGGCGGCTGAGAGACGCGCTCCTCCCCCGCCGGTGTCTGAGAGACGCGCTCCTCTCCCGCCGGCGGCTGAGGGATGCGCTCCTCCCCCGCCGGTGTCTGAGAGACGCGCTCGGGAGAGCCGGCCGCCTCGAGCGCAACGCTGAACAGCGGGAGTGCGCGCGGCCGCGCCTGAACCGGCGATTCATCAGCGGTGCTGACACAGCTGCGGCGGCGGCCGTCGATCGGCGACAGGCGGCAGCTGGGACGGAGTAGCGTGCCACGCAGCGCACGGAGCGGCCGGTCGGCTTGGCACCGCGGACGCACGCAGCTCCGGCTCTCCGGGGCCAGGCTCGCAGCCCTGCCTGGTACCCCAGCCGCGCGCAGCTCCGGCCCTCGGGGACCAGGCTCGCGGGGGCCAGGCTGGCAGCCCTGCCTGGCACCCCGGCCGCGCGCAGCTCCGGCCCTCGGGGGCCAGGCTCGCAGCCCTGCCTGGCACCCCGGCCGTGCACAGCTCCGGCCCTCTGGGGCCAGGCTCGCAGCCCCGCCTGGCATCCCGGCCGCGCGCAGCTCCGGCCCTCAGAGGCCAGGCTCGCAGCCCTGCCTGACATCGAAGTGTACCAGGCTGGTATGCACGCTCTGGTCGTGGTCTCGCCTTCTGGAATCGCTCACAGCTCGCAGATCAAATGACCCGACGGCTGCATGATGCCACACGGTTCATGTTGAAGTGCAAGATGATTTGCCCGAGTCTGCTGCCACAAATATATATGTGGTGATGAGATCAGCTGCCTTGTCCTTTATAAGCCACTTATTCTCAGCAGATCTATGCGTTGATAAATGGCCGCCCTTTGAACTGGACGGCCAGGTCAGTTGTTCGCGACGTCGTGTACGGCCCAGTTGTGGCGTTATGTGGCGTGCCAGTGCGCCGGCGTTCTTCACGGCTTAGTTTGTTCTGCCGTCCTGTCACCCAGCCTGTCCATGGCGAGTGGTCCGCCTGCTATCAGTCAGTGCTCGATGCACGGGGTCGGCGCCGTTCCAGCAGGGGCGTGACGACGCATGAATGAGCGCCAGCTGCGAGCGCCGAGAGGCAGGCAGGAATCAGGCAGTGACCGGCATGACTGCGGTTTTGGGGCCGACCGACCGACGTCGGAGAGCGTGGATGGTGTCGCTCGTCAGCCACGCCGCTCCGTCCGGGTGTGTGGCGCGAGGAGGCGGGCGTCGGCCGCGGCGCAGTACGGCCCGGCTCGTCCGACTCGGCAGCTCGGCCTCGTGACGCGCGCTGTCTGGGGCCGCTGTTTGTGTGAGCAGACAGCTCCGGCCGCCGTCCGGGCGTCGGGAGCAGCAGAGCCGGGTACACACAGACCGGTGGTCCTAGCCTTCGACCGGCGCCGCACTCCGCACCGCTGTGACGGCGGGCCGCCACCCCGGCGGACAGGGGCGGGGCCGCCACGATCGGACCACCGTCCGGGCCGGCCGGGGACGGGGGCAGTCTGGCGCGGGGAGGCCGCGCCCCGCCCTTGGCTCCGGCGTAGCGGCTGTGTGTAGCCCGAGCGGCGCGGCTGGGCTGTGCGGGGCCGGTCGGGCCGAGCCTGGCAGCGGCTGCATGGCCCCCGCCTTCGCCTGGGCGGCGCCGGCGGCCGTGTGTGGCCGGGTTGACCTGTGGATTAGCGCCGGCGGCCGGCCAGCGGAGACGCCTCTGGCCGGCGCTGGCCGACTACCGTGCCGCCCCAGTCCGTCTGCCTGTTCCTCTGAGCGGGCCGAGGTCGCTGCGTGACCGTGGGGCCGGGTCGTGTGGCACAGCCGACCTGCCGGCCTCGGCAGCTGGCTACGATGGCCTCGTGGCTGTGCCGCCTCGGGGCGCTCGGACGCTTCAGCTGTGCACCGCCGGCGCAGGTGACGCAGGTCACCGTCTGACTGCGGTCCCGCCCTTCCTGCCAGGGTGAAAGGCAGGCGACGCCATACAGCCTCAGCAGCTAAGTACTTCGTAAAGTCCCAATGACGACGACGATGACGTCTGACTGCAGCCGGCGTGTCGGCAGGGCGGCCGGACGGGACACGCGGAGGTGCAGTGTAGCAGCCCATGTGAACCCCGGTGACGGAGGCCCAGAGCTTGTCAGCAGGGCGCCCGGGCGGGACACGCGGAGATGCGGTATGGCAGCTCGTGTGATGGCCGGTGACGGAGGCCCAGAGCTAGTCGGGTGCGCGGCTGCCGTGGGAGGTGACATGACCGGACGCCGGGTCCGTCGGGAACCGCTGGTCAGCTGTCGTGACCGTAACCTGTCGGGGGCGGTCAGGGTCCAACCCGTGACCCGTCGGGCCGGTGTCGCGTCTGAGGCCGGCCCCCGGACGACCGACGCGGCCCTGCCCTGCCGCTGCTGGCAGCCGGCCGCGTCGCTGGCGCCCGCTCTCCCCTCGCCCGTCCCCCGCCCTCTCCCCCGTATGCGCGGCTTGTCTCCCGTGACAGCCATTGTGCCGCCGCCGCCCGGCGCCGTGACGTCATCGGCACGCGTCGCCCACCGTCGCCGACGGGTGGCGCGGTCCGGCTCGCCGCCGACGATGGTCCGGGGCGTCGGAGCGTGACCCGCGCCGCCGCTGACCTCCGGAACGGTTCAGCAGGTGTGGCGGGGTGGCACCGGCCGGTCCGCAGAGGTATTCCGGCGGGTTTTGTTACAGCGATGCTGCGATTTCAAATGATGAAGTGCGCAGGTCAGGTCGGTGTCCGCAGCGCTACAGACGCGGGCGGAAGAGGTCCATACTCTGATGTATGCGCTGAAGGTGGAATGATGCCACCGACTCAAAGGCCTTGACCAGCACTGAGGTGGCCGCGCCTGACAACCTCCGTCGCCAGCGCTGGCGCGGCCCATTGGTGCCTGCTGAGGTGGCGGGCGGGGACGGCGTGTCAGCAACAACCACGACCGGAGACGAATCGAATGGGCCTCGTGTGGTCGCCCGCACTGGACGGCTGGGCGCCACCAGCCGGCTGTCAGTTGCGGCGCCCCGGCCTCGGCGGTGGCCTGTTTTTGCTGCAGTAGCTGACCGCGGCGATATGGCATGTCTGTGTGGTCTGGCTTCGGCGGGGCGGGCGGCTGGCTGGCGGCCTGACCTAATGACACGGCGGGACAGTCGGCTCGGGGAACGCCGCACCGTCTCCCCACACAGCTCTGTAGCAGGTGACCGCGGCGGTGTGGCGTGTCTCTGTATGGCCTGACCTGGTGGCACGGCGGGGCCGTCGGCTGGGGAACCTCACAGCTTAGACAGCTCTGCACCATGATGCCATCACTGAGGTTACCGCACGTGAATATTGTAAAGTCTAGACAATTGATGATATTGTAGAAGTAATGCCAATTGCGTGCAACAGGACCGCAAAACGGTCTGGTTTGCCCTCGCTGGTTCCCAGAGTGGTCGTGCAGTCTGTCAGCCTCGCTCGGGGGCTCAGGCCGGAATCCGTTGAGCGGTGGGCGGTGGGATGACGCTACCTGTGTGGGAGAGCGAGTTATGGTCGGCTATTTCAGCGTCGCTGGGCGCAGTGCCAGGCATCGCCCCGCGTAGCGTGCGTATTTTTCAAACATCTCCGACCTAAACGGATGACTGAGACGGCTCTCAGTTTGACATTACAAGCCGGGCCCGTGTCTCAATCGACGCTCGTTAAGCTGGAGCATTAATTTGTGTGATGGATCTACCTCTGGCTCCGTGCTGGGGGCCGCGTTGTTCGCCTCCGGCACTGGATCGCCTCGAGGTCGTCCCTCCTGAACCAAGGTGCCTCATGATTACTCTCCGTCGGTATGGGACTTCGCGTGTGCCGCCTGGGACCGGGTCTTCTCCCTGTGC